AAAAAAAAAAAAAACGTGAAAGTGTGAGAGAAAATCAGGGCTCTATTTAGAGAAGTCTAATTGTTTCTCTGAAAAAACAACAAATACAGGATAGCTCTGTCCTACAGCAATCTAAAACACAACCTCCCTGATGTACATACAGAAAATATATGTCTTAACCAACCTGGAAGAAAAACAAAATTCTGGGTGTGGAAACATATTTTCTCAAGTTATTCTTTTTTCTTTTTTTTTTTGAGATGGAGTTTCGCTGTTGTTGCCCAGGCTGGAGTACAATGGCGCATCTCAGCTCACTGCAACCTCCGCTTCCTGGGTTCAAGTGATTCTCCTGCCCCAGCCTCGCAAGTAACTGAGATTACAGGCATGCACCACCATGCCCAGCTAATTTTGTATTTTTAGTAGAGACAGGGTTTCTCCAGGTTGGTCAGGCTGGTCTAGGAACTCCTGACCTCAGGTGATCCACCCGCCTTGGTCTCCCAACGTGCTAGGATTATAGGTGTGAGTCACCGTGCCCAGCCACTTTTTTCAAACTGGATTCAGCCCTAGGCTGCTGCTGACATCAGTGCTCCTCTCTGGGGCAAGGCTGGCGGGCTTGCATTGCACTGGAAGGGCATGAGGCACCTGCTGCCACAGCAGAGAATCAAATGAAGGACCATATAACTGCCCATTGGGGATTGGAGAATTCTTTAAAGTCTGAATACTTAGGGAACACACACCAAGGCCCTGATTTTCCATTTCTGGAAAAAATTTCTGTTCTACAAATTTCCAGATATCAAAAGATGCTGTAGAATTTAATTCACGGTGTCTTCTCAAGAGGAAGAGGGAAAAATAACTGTTCTTCATAGGATTCTTTTCTTTTTTGGTGTCTTAAATGTCAATGATCACAAAAACTTCTGGCTTCTCTTCATTATAGACCTGCATTGCTGAATATGTTATTGCTTTGACTTCTGTTCCCTAAAGTTGGGGTGAGGGAAAAAAAATTAGGTAAACAAGATACTGAAATCATAATCATTAACTCTAGCAACAATTGGCTGAAAGTCAAAATTTTAATATTTTAAAAATGAAAAACTCACAAGAAACAGTTATCAAATTAGCACAGTATACATGGATCCAAAAAAATGAGAGGCAACACACGCACAGGGTAGTAGGGGCCTGACACTCTAATCCTGGCTTTGTTTCCACCTCCATATGGAAACTGTCTGCCCTGTCTGGACATCGGTTTTTCATTTATAAAATGGGTTGAATCACATAAAGACATATGCACGGGTATGTTCACTGCAGCACTATTCACCATTGCAAAGACATATAATCAACCCACATGTCTGTCAATGGTAGACTAAACAAAGAAAATGTGATCTATATACACCATGGAATACTACACAGCCATAAAAAAGAATGAGATCATGTCATTTGCAACAATGTGGATGGAGCTGGAGGGCATTATCCTAACGGAATTCCTGCAGGAACAGAAAACCAAATACCATGTTTCCACTTTTTTTTTTTTTTTTTTTTTAAAGACGGGGTTTGACCATGTTGGTCAGGCTGGTCTTGAACTTCCGGCCTCAGGTGATCCACCCGCCTTGGCCTCCAAAGTGCTTGGATTACAGGCGTGAGATGTTTCCACTTATAAGTGGGAGATAAACACTGAGTACACATGAACACAAAGAAGAAAATGAGACAACGGGTCTACTTGAGGGTGGGAGGAGAGTAAGGACTGAAAAACTGCCTATTAGGTATTATGCTGATTACCTGGGTAACAAAATGATCTGTACACTAAGCCCCCACAACACACAACTTACCCATGTAACAAACCTGTACATGTGCCCCATAAACCTAAAAATAAAAGTTGGAAAGAAAAAAAGTAAAAAGCGGCTGGGCACGGTGGCTCACACCTGTAATCCCAGAACTTTGGGAGGCTGAGGCAGGTAGATCACGATGTCAGTAGTTCGAGACCAGTCTGGCCAACATGAAGAAACCCTGCCTCTACTAAACATAGAAAAAATTAGTTAGCTGGGAGTGGTGGTGCATGCCTGTAATCCCAGCTACTTGGGAAGCTGAGGCAGGAGAATCGCTTGAACCCAGGAGATGGAGGTTGCAGTGAGCCAAGATCGAGTCATTGCACTCCAGCCTGGGCGACAGGGCAAGACTCCGTCTCAAAAAAAAAAAAGAAAAAGAAAAGAAAGGAAAAAGCTTTTGAGGATGATTGAAAACAATGGGTTGCTCAAAGAACGCAAGCTTTTCTATTATTTGGCTCAGGGCCCTTCCTGAAACCCAAATCATTTTTTTATACTCTAATGTAGGCCCTAGGAACTCAACCTATTCTCTTCTCCTTAGCTGCCAACACTCACTTCACCTCTTGGGACTCTTCTCTTTCCAAGTCTAGCTGAAGAGTAAGATATAGTTTTCCAGGTCAAAAGCTCTCCAAACGTCCCTGATATGTGATACTGTGCTGAACCCTACCCCAGTTTAGAACCACAGGATTAGATGTTCTCTTATGTTCTTTCCAGCTCTAAAAGGAATTTACAATAATTCTGTGCACATAAAATACTATCAGGCAATAGGTGAATGGTATTTGCTAGCTCTATACCACACAAAAAAAGGAAGATTTCACAGAAGGATATGAGTGGCAATGCCGTTGCTTTTTCTCCTCTGCTACAATCACCTGGCAAAACCACAACCTAAATCAAATTCAACTGTCTGCTTATGGCAGCATACACCATACTAACTGGTATCCCACTAAGTGAATGTCCACACATCTCAAACAGGAATTCAGCAAGTGCAGTAAAATCGCACAATTACCAATACACTCCCCTTTTCACTCTCTGAGACAATTCTTTCTCTAGTGATCATTCCTCCCTCATTCTCACTCTCTATCAACTGTGCTTCCTAGAGAAAGAGTAAATCAGTAAGAACTGACTCATCTTGCTGCCAAATCTACCATCATGCTGTATCTGTACTCACCCTAGCCTCTCTGGTTGCAATGAATGGCCTGTCCCTGTTTCCATCAGAAGACCAACTCCTATACGTGAGTACTCAATCTTATACCCCCTTACCAACTTTTACCAAAGAGGCTGTGGCCCTATCTCTACAACCCTATCTCCTACTACTATACTTTCACTCTCTCAGCTCCACCTTGCTGTTCCCTGAACATAGCTCATTTCAAGGCCATTACATCTGTTTCTTCAGCCTGGAATGTTCTTCCATATTTCTGCTCACTTCTCATCTCTCTTGCCTCTGCCCAAATATCACTTTCTCAAACATACTGATATGGTTTGGCTGTGTCCCCACCCAAATCTCATCTTGAATTGCAGTTCCCATAATCCCCACGTGTTATGGGAGTGACCAGGTGGAGATCATTAAATCGTGGGGCCAGTTTCCGCCATGCTGTTCTAGTGATACTGAGTGAGTTCTCAGGAGATCTGAGGGTTTTCTAAGGGGCTTCCCCTTTCGCTCAGCACTCGCTTCTTGCCACCATGTGAAGAAGGAAGTGTTTGCTTCCCCTTGCACCATGATTGTTAAGTTTCCTGAGTTTTCCCCAGCCATGCTCAATTGTGAGTCAATTAAACCTCTTTCCTCTATAAATTACCCAGTCTTGGGTACGTCTGTATTAGCAGCATGAGAACGGGTTAATACACATGCATTTTCTGACCCCTCATCCCCTCCTCTAACCACTGTTACCTTATCCTGATGGCACTGTTCACTGTCTGAAATTATATGTTTACATGTTTGTCTGGCTCATTTCTCCCCACTACACTTCTCCCCACTACATCTCCTATTACGTTTCTACCTCGAGTGCATAAATAAAATGTCTGAAACACTAGAGGCACTCGATAAGTATTTGCTGAATGCATGCATAAAGTCATGGACGGATGGAATATGGATTCATGGAGAGACGATAAGGACAACATTAAAACCAGGAAGGTATTTTTAAACCAAGAAATATTCCAGGAACCACATGTTTTAATAAGCTACTTGTAAAACATTCCTTTTTGCTTTGAAAAGCTGTTTGATTGGCTGGGCCCAGTGGCTCACACCTGTAATCCTAGCACTTTGAGAGGCTGAGGCAGGCAGATCAAGAGTTCAAGGCCAGCCTGACCAACATGGTGAAACGCCATCTCTACTAAAAATAGAAAAATTAGCCAGCTGTGGTGGTATGCACCTGTAGACCCAGCTACTCAGGAGGCTGAGGCAGAAGAATTGCTTGAACCAAGGAGGTAGAGGTTGTAGTGAACCGAGATCCCTCTTGACACTGCACTCCAGCCTGAGCGAGACTTCCTCTCGAAACAAAAGAAAACAAAAAAAAGCAGCACTGGCCGGGCGAGGTGGCTCATGCCTGTAATCCCAGCACTTTGGGAGGCTGAGGCGGGCGGATCACCAGGTCAAGAGATCAAGACCATCCTGGTCAACCCCGTCTCTACTAAAAATACAAAAATAAGCTGGGAATGGTGGCACACACCTGTAGTCCCAGTACTTGGGAGGCTGAGGCAGGAGAATTGCTTGAACCCAGGAGGCGGAGGTTGCGGTGGGCCGAGATCATGCCATTGCACTCCATACTGGGTAATGAGAGAAACTCCATCTCAAAAAAAAAAAAAAAAAGCAGCACTATAGTTGCTATACCATTTACAGATAACTGGAATCAAACAAATGATGGATTATTTACTCTTTTTAATTTGTGACATAAAACCATAGGGGAATCCCAAGTGAAAAAAACAAGAAGGAAACATTCTTATTTTTTGTCATGTGTAAAATACATCTTTTGTTAATATGCATATAATTAATAGTCGAATATTCTGAGACTACTTCTTTTGCTTTTTAAACTGTACATTTTTCAAAAATAAATAATTTCACTTCATCTTCTGTATTCAGAAGCCTTAGCACATTCATTAAAGTTCAACTTTATATCAAGGCTCCAATGTTTAATGTGATTCTATTAGTCTTTTCATATTTACATTTGCTTTCTTTTTTCTTTTTATTATTTTATTTTATTTTTTGCTTTCTTTTTTCTAAATTAAAAAACTTTTTTGGTTTTGTAGAGACAGGGTCTCATCATTTTGGCTAGGCTGGGCTCGAACTCCTGGCCTCTTCCCACTTTGGCTCCCAAAGTGCTAGGATTAAAGGTGTGAGTCACTGAACCCTGCCCCCTCTCTCTACATACATACATACATATATATATATATATATAAAACGTATACACACACGCACATACTTTTTTTTTTTTGAGACAAAGTTTCACTCTTGTCGCCCAGGCTGGAGTACAATGGTACGATCTTGGCTCATTGCGACCTCTACCTGGCAGGTTCAAGTAATTCTCCTCCCTCAGCCTACTGAGTACCTAGGATTCCAGGCAGCACCCTCACCCCCACACCCACACCCAGCTAATTTTTTTTTTTTTTTTTTTTT